ATAGAAGGACTTTATGTAATAGTGTTGAAAGAGCTACTTATAAAGCAGAATAAGATGAAGAAATGTCTCGCCCCATTAACTGAAAAAAAAGAAAATATGGAATTAATATTAAGCAATATAGAAGGAGAGCGAACGATACCGGAAACTATTGAATATATCTTGAAAAATGCAGAAAAGGAAAATTGCGATAAACTTACTAAAAAACTACATTCTTTTATTAATAAAAATAACTGTGAATTTATGGTAGAATATAATTCCATCTGCTTCGATCACGCCTGTTTAAATGCAAAGCAGACTGCTTTAAAAATGTATATGAATACGTTTTATGGTGAAGCTGAGAATAGTGGATCCCCTTTCTTCTCACTTCTATTAGCCGTAGGAGTCATATCAGCTGGTCAATAGAATATTAAGCTTGTAGCAGATTTTGTTAAAAATAAAGGCTTCAAAATAAAATATAGAGATACAGATTCTTTATATTTAGTTTGTCCAGAAGAATATTTTCAAGAATGTGATATAGCTTATGATAATGGAAACAGAATCTCGAAAGAAAAATATTGGAATGAAATGGTAAAAATTTCTATGAAAGTAATAGAGGAGCTTCATAATGAGGTAAATGAATTTCTTAAAAAAGACAACGGAGGTATTTATTTGAAAATAGTCTATGAAGAGGTTTTATTCCCAGTAGTATTTACAGATAAGAAAAAATATTATAGCATTCAACATATAGAAGAACCTAACTTCGATTCAGATCCAGATAAGCTTTTTATTAGAGGTATAGATATTGTGAAACGAGGACAGTCTAAGTTCTTTTGCGAAATAGATAAGAAGATTATACGAGAATCTATGGAAATCGATAACAATAGAACATTATACCAGATTGTTAAAGAGGTCCTTAAAAACACAGTAGAAAATTCATCTCAGATAGATATTAATGAATATGTTCAAACTTATGCATAGAGGCCTGATAAAGATAATAAGTCTTTTAAATGTTTCATTTCTTGAATGGAATCTAATCACACTCATGAGGTTGAGGAGTCCAAACAGCTTATAAAGAAGGAATTAACACCCGATTCATATATTTACGATATCCCAGAACCTGGAGAATGCTTTGAGTGTATAGTGGTAGAAAGGGAAGATCGATATGATGAGTATGGGAAGAAAATATCATAGAAAGTAGGAGAATGTATGGAATACCCAGATGTGGTGAAAAAACTTAACAAAAAGATAGATATCAATTATTACCTAAAGAGTGTAGTTGGTCTCTGTGCCAGATTTATAAATAGTGATAAATGTTTTGAACCTCCCACTGATAATGGATCTTTAATAAACATTACTACCCCTAATGAACTCTGGACAAAAAAGGATGAATTAGAACAGAAATCAGCAGAGAGGTAGATTAAGGAATATATAAAAGATTTACGTAATGCACCGAAAAAAGATGAAGCCATTATCTCCCATTTATGGAAAGATGCTATTATTTACGCAGAAGGAATATACTCTAGCATCGGCAGAAGAGATGGGAATATAGGTTATACAACAAATAATGATTACCTTAATGCGTTAGACAAAATTACAGACTCTACTCATTCTAAATTATCGAATCTACTTTTAGAATTGTCTAAGCTTAATGTAGAATATAGAAATGCAATGTATGAATTAATTATGCAGGTGCAAAAATGTAAACCTGAAATTACAATTCTGGAACAATATATATTTCTATATAATTTGGGATCAGAGTGCAGAGCATTAATGGATTTCCAGAATACATGGCACAAGGTGGTTGGTCTTGAGTTCACCTGTCTTCAAGCACTACCAGTTACACAGAACAGTAAAAAAAGATAACTCATCTGAAGCAGATGTTAATAAGATCATCGATCTATATTGTTAAGTACTCCATTAATACTCCCCAATATTAGTGGTACTTATACATTATTAATAATATTTTTTCATACATAAATAATATCCAAGTTTAAATAGACAATCTGTTATCCAATCCACATATCCCACAATTGATTACTTTTTTTATGACCCTTTATTTCAAAAAAATAGCTCTTTGAGCCTAGAGTCACTCTTTCAGTCTTTGGAGCAATGGCTCTTTGAGCCTACCTATATTCCATGTACATCTCACAAACTATATAACCACAATAATCAACAAAATAAGAAAAATATATGCTGATAGTGGTGACATTAAAGTGTTTGCTATAGCAGGAAGAGGCAAAGCCTCGAGACTAGGTCTCATCTGGGAATTTGATTTAATCAATGAGGATATGTATGCTTTGTGATATTTTTATTATATAGTTTTTATATTCTGCTTTCTTACATTAAATGTATTAGAAAAAAATCTAAAAAATCATATGACTTTGATCATATTATAAAAATGCAAGATTATAATGAGATTGATATCAAAGCTTTTACCTATGCCAAAAGATGTGAAGGGGAATGCTTGGCTAAAGCTAGATCTAACACAGATATTTATTTGTGGTCATGCAAAAATCAACATCAATAGGAAGCATCCTATAAAGATATGAAGCAGAATTATGAATGGTGTAATAGTTGTCCCCATATATTTGAGTGAAGATGTTGATATATATTCGAAGAATTATTATATAAGAAATTTCCACCTCAAAAACCCAAATTTTTAAAAGGTTTACAGTTTGATGGGTATAATGAGGAATTTCATTTGGCCTTTGAATATAGTGGTAATCAACATTACCAAATCATGCCTTTTTTTCATCCACAAGGACAAATGAATCTAGATGCACAAATTTGGCATGATTGGAAAAAAAGAGCATTGTGTTATAGAGAAGGAGTAATTCTTATTACAATACCCTATTGCGTAGTTGACTTAGAAACTTTTATAAAAAGCACCTTGTACGCATTCGGTTATCTTCCAGTATCCACCTAGGGGGTAACATAGGCTCTTCCTTAATATGCATTAATTGTTCTCTTACAAAGGGATGCTAAGGTCCCAATTCATCTAAATAGTATAAGACAGGCATTGGTGGATTTCTCCCGACAATAATTTTTCGAATTTTATGTAAGGAAGGAGACCATACAGGATCTGTTATCTTGCATTATTCAAAGGAATCATTTTCCCATTCTTCTTTAGCAAGTAAGAATCACACAATAGTACCCTTTAGTAGTTGTGGTTCATTAACACCTATTGGATGATTATATTTACTAATGGCTTAGAATATATCTGCTCAAGTTTCATGGCATTATTAGGACTCATTCCAATTAGTCAAGTTGGAGTATCATTCATATTATCAACAATCTTTAGTGCAAACTGTTCACATTCTCTACAGAGTTCACCGGTAGGTAAGAGAAACTCTATCGCATACTGGTTTTTAAAAACTCTTAATTCAAATAATCCGGCATAATGATCAACCATAGCCATGCTTGTATGTCTAAAATGTGCTTTAATTCTTCAGATATTAACATTATGTTCATCCATTATTAATGTCACATTTCCCATAAACTCACGACCTTAATCAGATTGTAATAGCCGAGGCCAGTTAAGAGAGTTGTCGAGGTTATCATATATACTCTTAAATGCTTCTGCAACTTCTTCACTACTCTTTGATGTTAAAAAAACAAAATCTTTATACCTAGTTGCACAGTCTATAACTAATAATACATAGTAAAATATTGAGTCATTATCTAGTAAATCTGTATCTACATCATATGGTATTTCGATCAGATCACACTGGTGTACAGTATTTGGCTTTGTGATTTTAGAGTAACTAGCATAAGGTATTTGTCTTGGTGAAGGTCGAAAGATTTGATATATTGCTTGGCTATTAAGCTATTTTTTTATATCATTAAATAGAAAGTTTTGGCCAGCTTTCTTACAAGTATCCTACAATCCCTTAACATTTTGATAAAAACCCTTGGGCTGATAATACAGCTTTTGTAAAGCAAGATGTCGGTCAAGATCACATGCTTTTTGGAGATTAATAATAATCATAGGTTTTTGTAATGACAAATTTTGATTTTTAACTTTTTTAGTCTTAGCAATTTCTCGATCAAGTTCATACGCTTTTTGTGGATCTATATAAATTACAGATTTTGTCATTCCTTTGTTTTATTATAGTAATAAAAAACATGGAGGAGTTACAACAAACTAACCAAGAACTCTATGAGGTGGTATCGCAATTAGCAGAATCAAATAGGAATTTCAAACAGCGACTATATACCTAGAAAGGGTTATAGGTATACAGGAAGAGAAAATACGATTGCTTGAAAAAGAGTTAAATAATGCTATCAAACTCTCTACACAAGAGGAAGAAGAATTAATAGAAGAAATTTCAAAATTAAAAAGAATCGTTCACCAACTTGAGGAAGAAAATAAAAGGAAAGACAAAGAAATTTCTAATAAAGATAGATTAATATCAGAATTTGATGAACACGAAACAAAATTAAAAACCCGAATACAAGAGATATCTAAATCAGCTAGAAATATGCCTAAAGCACAAAATTATACAACCAGATTAGTAAATGAAAACGAACGCCTTAAACGAGAAATAAATACAATAAAGATTAATCAAATAAATAGGATTAATAAAATAAATTAGCAAAAAAATCATATTACAGACCTGCTTTGTCAAAATTTTGCATTAGCATTATTAAGATATCAAGATAGATTAGAGCTTATAAATACACAAGAGGCATTAGAAAATGCACAAGCATGGAATTATAATGAAGATGAATCTAATTCTGATGAAAATTCTCAAGATAATTATACTTTTGATTTAGATATGGGCACAATAGCTGAATTGGCCGATGCTATAGACAGATCCTTAAATGATACAACAATATGTAAAACCGTTTTAACAAATCAAATTAAAAGATCAACAAGATCAATTAGACGTAAATATGCTAACCTGCAACAAGATCTGGTAAACGAACAGTGGAATCATGATATATACAGGCAGGAGCGAGACTAGGCATTGTTTAAACTTCATTAGTTACGGACTAATGCTCAGAATCAAGTAAACAGAATGATAAATAATATAACAATAAAGCAAACCTGTATTGGTGCATTGCTATGTGAAAATTTTGCTTTCTAGTTATTGTATCAGCGAAATGCCCACTACCTACAACAATGTAGAGCCGATAAAGCTTTGCTAGAATATAATCGAGATAGGTTATATGAATGATATGAGAAATGGAAAAATAAGACTCATGAAGAGCACCAAAATATTTTAATTTTAAATCAACAAATTTTTGTGCTACAGAATAATCCACCTAATATACAACAAATAGGAATAGCAGGAATACCGCAACCATTTTTTGACTGGGGTGAAGATATACCAGATTTCCTTGCAAAACTTAGATTATACTTGCAAAACCAAGGAATAAATCTAGCAGATAATGTGGAAGGTCCACCAATGAGAAGAGAAGTAGCTATAGGATATTTAAGAGGATGTATGAAAGGAAAAGCTTTAGAATAGTTTGACGAAGAGATTACTACAAAACAGAATTGGGAATTAGCAAACTTACTTGATAATACAGGGCAGGCAAATTAGTAGCTGTAAATGGGAGAACAGCAGTTCAAATAAAAAATCAAGCATTGAATGAGGCACTCGGCCAACCTAGTAATGCAATAGTCAAATTAAGAGCTGTAAAGGGTCCTTGGGATGAAGATTGGCGCATAGCAGGTGGTCGTCCTACTAACATTGCTGTTAATGCACCAAATGCTAATAATGGTACTATAGTAGTTGTAGCTGGCATTCATTTCAGTCAAGCCATATGGTGGCTAAAAATACATTTTCCTAAAGTGGAAGAGGAGCTTCAGGATTTGCAATATGGAACAATTAGAAAAGGAAATATGACTATAGATGAATTATATAGAAAATTGTTATGAATAGGTAGACGAGCTAACTATAGGCCCGAAGAATTACATAATAAGTTCTTAGATGCCCTTCCTATTCCATGGCTTGAAAAAGCTGAGGATATTAGTGAACATTTGCCATTAGATGAATTAGCTAAAAAGCTTTATGAGATAGAGTTACAACGAATTGCTAGACATAAAAAAGATAGAATACCTGATTCACTAGTATCTCAACAAGCATCTCGAGAAATATATGAACTCTTACCCATTCCAGCTCTTCAACAGCAAGGAATTTCTTTAAAAGATATGCAAAAAGTAATCTAAAACGCACTAGCACAGCAAAAAACTAAATACCAGTCTTTATTAGAAAAGCAAAAAGCTGATTTCCAACCACAAATGGCCCAGCAAGCAGTTGCTCAAAAAGCACAAGCACCAGCTTCACAAACTGTCAAACCAGTTAGACAGCCAAGAGGTCTACTACCTTCATTACAAACAGAAGAAGGTATGGAAAATTTTCACTTATCACAATACTTAAATAATTTAGGTATATTTAGTACAGAAGATTTCGACAGAAATTATCCTATAAAGCCTTTTCAAAAACCTCATCAGGGACGATTATATTCATCAAATCAAAATGCTAGAATGGATAGAATAGAATCGAAAGTAGATGAAATCAGTCAAATAACATCTCAATTCGGAAAGATGATGCTTGATAACAAAAAACTCTTAGCTAAATCAAATTCAATATATTGATACTTTTCTCCTCTAATACCTTCCCAATTCCAATATGCATCTCCTGATTTGGATGATAATGAGGATGAAGAAGATGGATATAATGAAGAAGAGAATAGATGACATGCTCTATCTCAGTCAGAAAAAAAAAACAGGCACTGGTAAATGAAAAAATGCTTCTAGAACTTAGTTAGCCTGAAACATATGATGAACTATTACCAAAGCTTTCACTGGCAATGTGTAAAATGTGTTAGTCTTATATAGTCCAGAAAAAAAAAATCAAAATCAGATGAATAGTTTTTGTCATTGCAATACTTGCATTGCAATATAAATGATCTATTGATCACTAATTCCTTTTTAGATAGCGTGAGTGAATTCAGGGGAATGAATGATGCAACAATTAACACCCTAGGATGGAAAGCTGATAAGCCTTCTGACTTTGCTATAAAGAGTAATTCCAAACATATATCTGAATCATTAGGATGGTATACAGATGTGCCAATTAGTGTAAAGGACAAAGATGGTAAGATTGTTATGTCTACTGGAAATTTTGCTCATATTAATAATGATGAACCTGAACCAATGTTATGTTTAGGTATGACATGGATTCGAAAAGTTCAAGCTATTCTTGATCCAAATAAAAATCAATTTCAAATGAAATTACATGGTAAGTCTTATATTATTCCAACATTCAGCAAGAGCCCATCTAGCTCGACTAATAAGGAAGACTTAAAAAAAAATGCAATGAACTTGAAAAGTGACTCATAAAGACTGAAGAGTGGCTTGATATGGCTTTAAAAGCAGGTAAAGCTCTTGCAGAAAGATGTTCTTAGCTTACTAAGACAAAGATAGAAGCATAGAAGCTAATCTTTCACTGTCTTTTATTAATTTTTCAAGATCGTTTTTCCTTCTAGATATATTATTGCTTTGCAGGCCTGTAGGAGGTGTCTCTTTGAGACATGGAACTTTGTTCCTATCAGAAGAGATACTTTTTTTTACTGCACATGAGGAATTAGAATTTTGAGAAAGCTAAGCTTCGAGTCTTTGACTCGTCTTTGGTCATGTTATCTCTGCTAATTTATCTAGTGAAACTTTAGATTAAATCATATTATTTGTATTAGATGAATTATTGTCAGAGGTAGACACATTATGCTGGATATACTAGACTGTACTTGTACACTTTGTGCATTATGCAAAATATTTAAATTTTGATTAGAGTCATCATCATCATCATCGTGGGGTATAGGTTGATCTCAGAGAACTCTATTAGCTTCTTTTCCTCTCCAAATTTGATAAATACGTTTTGTTGATGTTTTATACTTACCCATCAAGTTATTTAAAATTTTATATCTTGGTTTTATATCACGACATTGCATAATATAAGAATAATCTTCCTGAGAAAATAGGGGTGCATCAGATTGTATACGTACTCTAGGCATAGCAGTAAATGTAAATAAAAGATGTTTATATTTAACAAAAAATATAAAATATATCGAAATATTAAAATATATTGGAAAGATAGAATATACAGATTAATATTATTCATTTTTCTATATAACAGATATGTATAATCGATCTAATACATCATAACAGATATGTATATTCTATCTAATACATATATTCTATATAATATATTACATTTAAAATACAAATATATTAATTTTTTTAGATATCTATAAGAATTAGATAATATGCCTCAAATTTATACATTATCAGATATAGGTAAATGCAAAAAACTTGGAAACATACCATCAAACTGATATCTGCCTAGTCGAACAGAACTTGAAAACCAGCTTGCTTGTGCAAATCAAGATCGAAAAATTGCTATAGGATGTGATAATTGACTTGCCAATAAATGTTCTATCTTAGATAAAGACAATAAGCATATACAATGTGATCTAAAACAATCTAATAATGATAAAGAGAAACTCTCCAAGCATACCTACCAGCTTATAAATAAGGTTAAGCGATTGAGCTCAGAGTTAGATAGTCTAATATCTCAAATTACCCGCAAAGATATTTCTCTTAATGAATCTAAAATTAAAATAAAAGATCTTCAGTCTAAGATAAAAATATTGGAAATGAAACTATCTTCAACTCAGAATGAATTAAAAGAAATTACAGCACTACGGTCTATGAAAAAAATATTAGAAGATAAGTTAGAATCAGCTCAAAAAGATGCATTCTCAACTCAGAAAGAAATACTAAAAAAAGAATTCAAGATTATATCTCTCAAGTCTGAATTAACAAATACAAAGAATGAATTAGTGAATACAAAAAATGAATTAGCCTCAAAAATTAATAAGATTGAGTGTTTAGGTGCTTTGTGCTCTGTTTTACAGAAAACAAAGGATATATTAGATCCTGTAAAGTCAAAGACTCATTGCTCTGCAATAGTTAAGGGAGGTGAAGAAAAAAATATGCAAAGCGAGGAACAAAGTTTCATATCGAATTCTAGAGATACATCTGAATCTAGACCTGAAGGGTCATTGCTTTGCAGGCCCTTTAAGGGCGACTCTTCAAGTCATAAAAGTCTTGCAAAATATTTTAAAAATAAAACATTACCAATTATCACAAATAATCAGAATTCAGAGTCATTGATTCAAGATATTACAAATAACCAGAATCCGGAATCATTGATTCAAGATATTACAATAAAAGAGACAGTATGTGCTGGCGAGGCTTTAGTTAATGATAAGTATCAGATTCCTCCTTTTATTAAAATTGTCATTATTGTAATAATAGTGATATTAATTATTTGGTATATATATAGGAATATTTTTCATCCACTCCCGCCTTCTTGTTCTTTGAACTCAAAGCCAAATTATAGCCACCGTATGACTGCCTCTGACAATTTGTTTTCTGGAATATATTCACAGAGTGAGGACACTAATGTGCCTAAACTGACCATGAACGAACAAAGTGAAGTGAATTATCGAAGGAAAGAAATTTTTTATCCAGTTTATAGAAATTATAGATATGGATTCCCAGGAAGCAGTGCTTCGAGTTCCCAACTCATCTGATATACAAAAAAATCAAAAGAAAGAACTATTGCAGAACAAGCCCGAAGGGTGAACCAAGGATTATGGCTCATCGAGCTTATTTTCAAAGAAAATGAGTTTCACTCTACCACCTATGAAACTTTATCTTATGGATATAGATGAAGCTAATAAACATAAATCAATTCGAAATGTTGGACATCCAGCAATGTCATAGCCTTTCAGTAAAGTATTTATTGGTATGAATAGTAAAGGTAAGACAAATATAGTTGGAAATCTTGTTCTGGAAAATAAAGCTGAAAATATATACAAAGGTAAAAAAGGAGGATCCCGATATATTAAGTGTGATGATTTGATAGTTTGTGGATTTCATCCAGATGAGCCAAAATGAGCATTTGTTAGATATATGTATGGAGTAATTGCAGGTAATCCTAAAGCATCTTACTATGAAAATATAAGATTTAAATATATCTCACCTGAAAAAATTCTTAGTGTAAAATCATTTTCTCCAAAGAGGAGTACTGTAATTATTTTTGAGGGTTTATGTGTAGCCCTCGAGTCCATTAAAACTGAATTATTCTATTCTTCACACCTGGGCATCATCTGAATATTAGTCCAATTTATATAACACAAAAATCTCATCATGTCCCGATAATTATTCATGAAAATCTTACCCACTTAGTTATATTTAATAGGGGCAGTAGTTATCAGGATGTGTCCAAAATAATTGGATGATATACTGATGATGTTAAGAATGCATCAATGGTTATTAATAGTTACCTTCGAAAAAATGAATTTATTGTATTTGATCTTACTAGGTCAGAAGATAATCTATTAGCAATTCGTTTAAGATTCGATACTCCACTGGATTTGCAGAAAGAGATAGAGTTACGTCAAAAGCACAAGATAAAAAATGCATTGCCAGCTGAGCCCATGAATTTTGAACCCAAAAAAACTGAAAAATCAGACACGTAAGTGTTCTGCTTCACAGAAATGAAAAGTTTATTAGTATTAATCCCTTTTTTTTCTCATCTTTCAGAAAAAAAATATAGTGTAAGCTACTAGAGTAATATATATAGAGGTAATATGTATATTTCTGCTATCTATTTTTCTGACTTTGAGTGATAAAGTCTCAAGAAGGTGGGATTTTTATTTTACATCAACACTTTTCTATCTGAGTTGATATAAAGAGCCAAGATGATTTGTTTGTTCACAAACTTCCAAAGCACTTAATTGTATTATATACTCAGAGATATGAAAGTGGCTTGCTAATGCAAGAAAATTATTGATAAAAATATACCTAATTGTGATCTCAAGAATAGCATTAGGAAAACGATGGACAACTACTCTATGCAAAAAAATGTTACCAGCCCTCAGGGATAACGAAATAAAGTCTAAAGTACTAGCCTTCAGGAATACTTTAGGTTGTTTTATTTTAAATAGATATGTTATATAATTAATAAATCGAATAAATAGATTAAATCAAATAAATAAATATATGAATTGCTTTGCAGACATGGTCTATACATTGTTAATTTGGCGCATTTCCTCTCGAATTCCCCATAAGAGTTTATAATGTTGAGCAAGTTCTGTAGCACACATATTTAAAGATCTAATTTTTTATTTAAAAATATTTCGATTCTTAATGCCATTCCAACTCAAATTTTCTATATATGATGCTTGTAAAATTGCTGAAAGTCGAGGTGGCCAATGCCTTTCTGATAATTATATTAATTGTAATACTCCATTAAGATGGAAATGTGTAAAAGGACACAAATGGACTGCTAACTTTCACAGTATAAAAAATGGAAAGACATGGTGTTCTATTTGTTCTGATACTAGACTCAATATTTCAATTGCTAAAGAATTAGCACATAGCAAAAATGGTGAATGTCTTTCAGAAGAATATATCAATAATCGGTCACCTTTATTATGGCGTTGTGGTAAAGGACATGAATGGACTGCCAATCTTATTAGTATAAAACACAAAAAAACATGGTGTCCAGGTTGCAGACGCATAAAACCTCTTAATCTTGAAATTGCTAAACAAATAGCATGTGATAGAAATGGAAAGTGTCTTTCAACCGAATATAAAAATTCCAATGTTCTAATGCAATGGCAATGTAACATGGGATATAAATGGAATGCAACACTTAGTAGTATAAAAGCTGGGCGATGGTGTCTACATTGTGCTGGTTCAATTCCTCATACTCTTGAAATTGCTAAACAAATTGCGCATAGTAGAAATGGGAAATGCCTTTCAAGCGAATATAAAAATCTTGAAACTGATTTAATATGGAGTTGTGCTGAAGGACATGAATGGTACGCCCCTCTCAGTAGAATAAAAAACCAAGGCGCATGGTGTCCTTATTGCTCAAAATATAAACGCGAAAATTTGTGTCGAGAAATTGTATCAAAATATCTTGGACCCCCATCTAAGATACGTCAACCTGAATTTCTCAAAACTCCAGAACATCCAAGTGGTTTACATCTTGATATTTATTATCCAGAATACGGATTTGCGATCGAAGTGCAAGGTGAGCAACATAAACATTATATATAATTCTTTCATAGAGGAGATCCCAATAATTTTATCAAACAGCAAGAGCGGGATCAACTCAAGAAAGAATTATGCGAAGAAAATTGGATCGTTTTAAGGTATGTTTGGTACTACGAAGACCCATATGTAATTATTCCAGAGAATCTTCGAGAATTGGGTCTTATTGAGTAAACTTAAAACTTTAAATATTCATAATGATTAAGCAATAAAATCTCATGTGCACACATTGTTAAATATGTTCTCTATTTTTTTTTTTCTGACACACCCACACACACGCATATGCACAGCCCGATGCGGGCATTGATAAATACAAAAAAAAAATAAGAGCATGAACCAAGTTCGGAGTATTATAATAGATTGCAGTGCAGTGTTAACAAATAAGATTATTATATATTTATTAAAACTTTAACACACTACATTGGCTGGCTTTCCAAAACTATCTGCTGAATTTCGTAAAGATCAATGGTGAAATTACCATCAAGAATTGCAGGACGAGAATAAGAAACCAGTGGAACATATCCAATAGCTGGAATAGGTGGGTCATAAAATATATCACTTATCGGGATGTTGATCTGATATGCTGGATTACCCGGAGCATTACACCCAGTAGGTACACTACTACCTTTTTGCACAGTCCCAAAATGCCACTATTTTTTTAGGGAAAAACATATTATAAATATCGAAAAAATAAAATAAATAGAATCTCTAAGCAATTTAACATTACTTTTCTGGTTGGCATTCCTTGTCTCCATAATTTAGCCTAATATTTAAAAAGTTTTTTAGCATATCAACTACGAAACTATAATAAAATAGTCAATAGATACATACCTTCATTGATCGATTAAATTGTCCATGTGTATTTCGTGTAGTTCGCAAATCATAAAGTTTTATTCCTAATACATATCTCACATACTGCTGACTCATCCAAAGTTCACACTTATTTTTCAATCCACAGTAACTTTGACTAACTGCAACCTCACATACGATTCTAGCATGAGGATTCCCCTACAAAAGTATAAGATTAGAAAAATAGATAATGATAATATACACCCAATTCAATGTACCATTGTATCGCTTGGGGGAGGTCCAATATTGAGAGGTCCAGGATTAGGAGGTCTTGGAACGTATGTCTTATTCGGACGTACTGCAATACCCGGTGCAATCCTAAGTCCATCTGCATTTGGTGAAGGATGAACTATAAAAAGGATGTAAGATATTAGAAAATCCATAGAAAGTCAAAGATCAAGCAAACTTGAATTTTCTTACGTGATTGACCCCTAACGACTATTGGTGGATTAATAATAACGCCACCATTTGGAATTCTGAAATACTCTTGTAGTAGTGCAACAACGGCTTCATGTACTTCTGTGCACATATCAATAATAAAAACGTTGCCGTTATTATACTCAAACTTGTATCCAGATGGTTCACGGCTTTCAAGAAATTTGTTGTAGTTTTTTATCGATATATTGGAACCAATCTTAAAAGGTAAACTGCAATTCATATGAGCTAACACTTAGTGGAACTTAAAGTAAAGGATCACAGTTCTATGATAAAAACATATGTTACCTATTCTCCTCTATGGGTTCCTTTGGAAATTTTGGAAGTTGAAATTGTTCTTGAAGCTTCTTAGTTAAGTCACGAAACATTTTGTAAAAAGTTTGAGTAAAAAATTAGAAGTGGTTTTGTAGAAAATTATGTAGTTAAGTTATTTTCAGTAAGATAATCGGGTTATCGATCACAAGTCATAGATATTTGAAAGGCACGGGAGTTAGGGAAATCATAATGCGTCAATCATGCTTCGCGGAATACATTTCGGTAGGTAAACATTTAATATAAGCAATTTTAACCACGAAGTAATAGAGCTTTATTTTTTGCTTCGCAGTTACTAGTAACTAAACGAACTCCATTTTGCGATGCAGATATATTTTGGGCTAGGGTAAGTCCATATGTCGCATTATCTAAATTTCCATCCATATTATTTACATTATCGCCTGAATCTCCGCCTGTATTATTTACATTATTTGCATTACAGTATCTCGATTACTATTCCCGTCCCTTCTACTAGGATCTCTTCAGGTGGGTGATGCGGATCGATCCCTTTGACTAACGGTGGATTCACGGCGACTCGTACTTAGAATTGATGGCACCTCGTAAGTTGGTAGTGAGATATATAAATATAAATATCGTTTGTATAGTTGTTCGTAATTTGAGGAATAAACATATGGATATCTCGAGTTTTAGCATTGGTATTTATGCGGGTCGACTTTAAAATATGGATTTATCGAGCTTTCCCAATTAAGAAACCAATTACATATCGATATGATTTCCTCATATATTACACTATATTTGTTTCTGTTATTTTAGTATGTGTGTTCTATATCGGGTACATAAAATCCCGCCTTTTCCTGATAAATCACTCGAAGCCAGATGTACATGTATATAGTTAGCAGATAATTGTCAACAAACAGATGTGCTATTTTTCTTTTTCCGAACTGGAGAGGAAAAAGATCTATTTCGGATGTATTACAAACATATGATTTAATTTTCCGGCAATGGAATGTACGACACCCACCATTTGAGATCATCCCGGTCGAGATAAACAAATCCAAGATATACAAATCCGAGGCATATGAAGTCGGTTAATTATACAAAATTTCGGACGTAATACCAATTCGAGTTTGGTTATAATGATTTTTTTGAGCGACACGAAAAAGAAAATGGTATGAACTCTGGTTGAAGTTTGGTTATTCATTCTCATAATGAATATATAATAAAATATAAATATGGGTTGAACTCGGGTTGAACTCGGGTTGAAAATGGTAGAATGGACATATGCACAAACATGTACTCTAATCGAAGAACGAAGAAATAGAAATATAGAGTACCATAGCCACAGAAGAAATCGAAACATATTTTGGAATAGTATTGCAAATAGAATCAACCAAGAGCATAATACTAATTTTACTGGTTATCATTGTAAAGAAAAATTTTTAAATCTTGTTCAGAGTTATAATGTACGTTCGCACTATAAAGCATTATTTTTTTATCTGGCTCCTATTAACATAATGAAATCACTCGATTAGGTGATGTGTAAATATATGTCAGGTAGTCGTGGAGCACGTAGAAATCGAATGGGTGTGCAATACTTTAATGAGTTTCATACACATTTTGGGAGAGGCCTGAAGATGAATTCGATAGAATCCGTATTCTTAATACCTCAAACTATAGGTGGAATAGAGATGTGGAAAATATAACACCAGTACCACCTATTGAGGAAGTTGAGCATGTATTGAGTATGAGATCTTTCGTTAGACGAATAAACCAGTCTCCATCCATTATTAGTAGAAGAAGTCAAAGACATTCACCATATCCTGGCTCACCCCATGATAACACTAATATAAACAACCCTGGTATGAGAAATTTTGAGCAAAATATTAGTGTTCCCTCACCTCCAATTGAAACATTATCTTCCCAACCATCACTTTACTCACGGGTCACAGATGAAGCACAAAATTATAATCAGAGCCAAGACAGTTCTAACTACGAAGTAGCTGTCTCCAGCAGTAATCTAACACCTGATTTGCTAAATTTATCCTTATCACGAAATGAAAATGATGCCATTATGCACGATATAGGTAGTCAACCACTCTTCCCGATAAATGAAGAGGAAAGATAAAGATTCTTGATCACTTTTCTGTATTTAATAAAAATAGTACAAGTTGCCCTATGGGCCTGCTGTATACATGTGGATATATCGCTAATTTTTGATATTTTTTTGTTGTGTGATAGCATCACGTAATTTTGGTGCTGAAATTTTACCAAAAAAAATAAAAAATAAAGTCTCGGAAAATGTCTGATATTTCTAGTAATAAAATCAATTGCATAACACAGATGTTTGATCAACATATCACATGTTATACCAAAGAAGAAAATCGAAGGTCATGAAACTTCTGCATGTACAGTGGCTTAGTGATTTTATATATGTTTATTAAGAAAAGCCAACAGCACTTCAGATGCGAAGCATCCTCCTTTCAGGAGACAGTGGCTTAAAAGTAGTTGATGACTTTTAATATGTAAGAATCATTGTACATACGTAAAAAAAAAATTTATTAACATTACTGTATAAGATACAATTAAAGTAAACAGTATTATAAGTCATACGAAATTAAGTATACAGTTTGTGTCACTTTCCTGCAGAATCATTTCTCACAGTAAATTTTTGATTTATAACGAATATTATGAATTTCTAGAAAGGCTTTTCCTATTATATATGATTCTATAATAAGAAAAAGCATGAATGGAACTTAAAAAGGCTATAAGGGTAATGAGTATAATGTTCTTTATCAGTAGTTTTATTAAAATTCATATGTTGCAGGAACTCTGCCATCTCTGAGATCGTCAGATCTAAATCCACCTTAAGTGATCGTTGAATCTAAGGGGGTTAATTTTACCAGAAAAAATAACAAAATAGATTTAGCATTTGGAACTTATGACCGAATAGACTTGCTTTACATGGTGTGATCTAGATTGCGTTACCTTAACCTAATTACTAATCATATAATTTTTTTTTCTGGCAAGTTTTTAGATCTTGCGAATGGACAGTATAAAAATAAGCAAGTTTCCACCTAAAGATAAGTTAGCAATAACATTATTTTTTGCTTATATATATTTTTTATCAAAAGGCCTACATACTGCTATTTATTTCTAAGGCATGCATTATATTCATTTTTTTTTTACATATCAGAAATACAATTATAGGTCTATATATTAATAATTTTCCTTAACAGTTACAATGTCTGAAAACATTTTTTCATATATGAGTAAACAAACAAAAATTTTTGATACCAGTAACAAGAATATCAAGATAACAGTCGAAGGGATAAATGGTGATATCGTGAGGATTTTTCTTGTAAATAAAAATGATAAGCTGTATGAGTCGATGGATGTAGTTTTTATGAATGTAACGACTGGAGAAGAATTATACCCCATAAGTTTCAAGGATGAAAAAAGCTATTTTATAACTTGGATGTATAACTATAAGTTATTCGTGGATGATAAGCAAATTTTTATACTAAAACAATGAAAAAAGCAAATCGGAGCAATTGGTTTAGCACAATATTTTAAATAATTTTTTATTTGTATTTTTTTATTATAAATAAAATATTTGTTATCTGTTTGTTGTCGTTCTGGTAACAATTTTTATAAAATAAAGAAGGGGTCCAGTGATCTCACCATTTTTTATTTTAACGCGATCGTGTAAATGAGTATTGGTCACTATTTATACTGTTATTTAGATTTTTATTAATGTTAAACCATGATCTATTAATGATGTTTATCTAAGCCTGCAAAGCAATTAATAACTTCTTTTGATCCATCAGGGCTAGCTTTATTGATATAAAAAATAAAAACAAAATACAGAATAAAAATATACATATTCAGAAATTTTTTATCTATAAATTTTTTGGTGGAGAATATGTTGTCAACATCATTGATGTTGATGGAGTCCGATCTTCAGTTACCGACAAAAGACTAATTTCGTCCTTCACATCAACAGACATTGCAATAATTTTTTCTACTACGAACCTCATTTTAAGGGCATTCTTTAAAAATTCTTCAACTATCGGGCATGAGGAAATATGTAAAAGTATAACCAACTCACATATTTGGAAAACTCGATAAAAATTATTTTCAAATAAGTCTAACGCAGAAACGATCACACGATCTTGTATTACTTAAATACCTAAAACAGGAACTTTCTCTAACTTAACATTTATTGATCTGGCTATATCGGTAGTATCATCCCTCCCATCAAAAAAAACGTTATATCATTCATCAAAACAATCTTTGCAAATACGTACCAATTTTTTCTAGTCGATAATTTCTTTATCTTGTTGAGGCAGTAATTGTAAAACCTCAGCAAGTACTATTTCATTTTTCACTGTGTCAAGCTTTAACAAAACTTGTAGATCTGGCTTCATTCTTGAATTCATAGCTTCTATTCGTTCCATCCTAGACTGTGAAGACTTGTTTGTCTGCTCAGACCTATATATATTAAAATTTATATATAGCATTTAGCGGGTATTTACATATTTATAATGATCATTATAAAAATAATTACAGTATATATATTACTATGCATATTTAAAGGACCACTTCGAATATGTGAAGATTGAATCTAAAACCATTGATATAGCATAAATTACATATGAGTTCTCGCTGTAATCATCTTCTGTTAATAATAGTCTCAGACTCCAAATATGTTGCCTAGAATTAGAAATACTCTTAATTAATGATATAACCTTATATAAATATACACATAATTTAACGCAAATAACTTACAATCCTTCTAACAAGTCAAAAACCACCATCAGTATACATCTGGATTCAATAGACATTTCTCCTCATGGAAAGGCTATTGGTCACATTAACACAGGATCAAAGTTAGGTCTTAGATTTTTATACGTATTTACGAAATCGTCCACTATGAATTTAATTTCTCCTGGAAATTCATTATTGCTGAACTCATGGTGCATCAAAATCTGCTTAGACCTAGATGATAACAAATTTACAAATGGGTCTTCATTTCCGGAGAGATCAATAATACCAGATGCTAAAGGAACTTCTGGTTTAATCGTCACTAGATCTAAGCATTCTAAATGACAAACAATTTTGGTATATGTGACCATAGTAGCTTTTAAGCAACTATTTCCTAGCTTAACTCTCTATAGATAATATTTTCCAATTAACAATAAACATACCAGAAATCAAAATTATGATATTTACTTACACATCCGCTTAATATAAATTCTATATTCTCTTGAATTATATTAACGTTACGTTCCTGTTCTATAGCTTGTCACTATATTGGTAAAAAATGAAAAAAGATAAGCGCTTTTCGTTTTGGATAGTATGAGATATATATATATTTATACTTATTTTCTCCTTTTCTCCCGTCCAAGCTTCTTTATAAAATTTTTGACGTTGTTCTTAAAACAGAAAAAAAATAACTTAATCTAGTATCTTCAAGATAATATAATTATATAATATAATATATGAAATCAGCTATTCCAAAGTTATTCATTTTCTATAATATAAATGGGATCCATGCCCACGGTCAGCAACGAGGTACACAAGGCATAGCTCGTACTGAACCTAGTGTGAGACCCACACCGGAATGATGAATCTCCTAAACTGCACCCTTCGATACTTACGGTGCTAGCGTTCTGTAAGCTAAGATATACGCAAAAACTTTATCACGTACACCCGGATACAGACAGCAACATAGGCCTATGTTGTTATTTTTCCATCCTCTTCTGCAAAATTGTTCATCATCTTCCAAAAAAATAGATAACTCATTTTTTATTACATACCTTAGAAGTCACGTTAAACTGAGATAAGATCTCCACTAGCTTTCGCTTATTTTTTGAATTATTTGTTCTACACATAGTTATAGCTTCTTTTAGCTTCTGGTGGTATTGAGATTCTGCTATATTAATGTTGTTTCTTCTCAAAGTCTTAACCTTCAGTAGATAGACATTTGGCAACTATTCTTTAAAATACAATACATTGCTTGGTTGGTTGTGATTAAGGTAAAAATAATTTTCAGACATTTTGGAAGCAATAAATGTTAGTTCGATTTTTTAATCACTGTAAAGCGATAAACTTTCATAACTTCATTATACTCCCCTTTATAAATGGATTTCGCTCTTCTCTGAATGGCAGTACAAATGTCAAAAGAATAGCAGAAAAAGGACCTATACACGCTCTACACCATTTTTTTACATTTCACATTACACTACATTGGTTATAGGGTGACCCTTAGACATGTAGGATGCATGTTGGAGATCTCGAGATCTTTAGCATTACAGCATAGAGAAAGATCCCCATGTATTATACTTTGCCCACCCACCTAGTAGAGCCTTTATTTTTTATTATAAAGACTATAAAAGTGGAAATATATATGTTTTGGTTAGAATAAATAAATTTTTGTACCAGCTTTGGAGTAGATCTAAAGCTTGAGTATTATTTTTTCTATGAACGTTTGTAAATAAAATTCAAAAAAATTCGTATAAAGATTTGGTTGCACAGAAAACGTATATGTCATAAGATTGTTGACCGAATTTGAGTTAGGGTACTATTTCGAGAAAAACTTAAAAATGATACTTTTTACTCATTCCACATGAGTTATGCATAATGATAAGCCTTGTAAGGTATTATAGTACAGATAAATTTATACGTATGCAAAATTTATTCTAACACGTTATCGCATTCACGCCGCTTATATATTCCATTCGCTACTTTTTTGCATGTTTTGCAATATAGGTGTGAATGGTGATTGCATTCGTCACAAACCTTACAACCCATGCTTCCAACTCCCAAAGATATGCCACTTTTCGATATAATTTCAGCTTTTTTTATTTGTATATGTATTGTTATGATTTTTTATCATTGTTGTATTAATAAAAAAATAATTATACATGGCTAAAAAATTTTTTATTATACTTAGACACTGGGCTTTGCCCATAAATAAACAATACATGTATTATGAAATAATTTATGAATTTCTTGACTGAGTTGGTCAGCGAAGTCACATGTCTTGGCGCAGTAAATGACGATTATCTCTATTCAAACTTTTCTTCTATAGCATCGATCTCATCCCAACTTAATTTAGAAATTCTCAATGCAGAATAAGATTTTATCAGTTGTATCTTCTCATATCCAATATTACTGAAAAGGTAGTAAATCTTTCTTGCCCTTTCTAGTCTTTTCTCGATTGCATTTCTTGAAAGGTCATTAGAGAGCTGTTCTGTGACCTCATCGATAAGTTTTTTCTTAGCCTTACAGTCTCTATTACTTTTTTTATAATACTTGAGCCTATCCTCAAGTTTTTTCCCAAACATAAAATAGCTCCTAATAACTTCCTGATTTGTGATTCCCACTTGTTCTTCAGCCTTAATAAGTGCATTGTACAGGTTAATAAAATTACCCAAGCTCGTGACTGTTTGCAAAGAGGTGGTACTCGAAGAGCTTAGTGATGATAACTCCTTGATAAGTTTTTTTAACATGGATGAATCTTCATTTTTTACCTTCACTTTCTTGCTAGATGATTTGCTAATAGATTCACTAACATGCTTTTTAGACAGACTTGGGAAGAGGGGATCAGTAAATAATGATAGAGATATATCTATCAAATCATTAATATTCTGACTTCCAGGCATGCTGTCAACCATAGATTCTACCTCCTTCTTGCAATTGGGCTTTGAGCATATTGAATGTTTCTTGATAGAAGTTTCGATACAATCATGATGATATATATGGCCACAGATAAGTAAAGTAATCAGCTTTTTTATTTCATATAAAAAAAGTTCTTGGTTGCATAAAAAACATGGATCTAGTTCGGATATATTAATATTATTTGCAATTTTTTCTGGTGATGAATGTTTAAGAACATTTAATGCAAGTGTTTCGAGACATGAAATATTTTGAGGTGAAGGGTTAGTAGCCATATTCAAATTTTTTATAATCAAAGGGTTAGTATACATATTAAGGGTTATAGACAGATAAGTATTTGCAATTAATCATATACTTGGCTCCTTTTTATAATAAATACTTTCACAACTAAAAAATTTAATTTGCAGATTTCATAAACTAATTTTGGGTTTAGTGATCCGTTCATTCACAAATTATTTAGTATGAGCCAGGAGAGTCAAAAACTCGATCCAAAAGATCATCGCTCGATCTTCACTGATAAAAAATTTAGCTTAAGGGTAAGTGTGGTTAGTGAGTTGGTTAGCATATATAACTTTACTAAAAATATCTAATAGGTCTGATTATTTCCAGATAGATTTATTGCAAAGCAGGCTGAAGGGGTAAAGTTGGGTTATAGTGAACTAATCTAGATACTCCTATATAAGTCATAGATATCCTCAATTTCAGAAGTATTCTCATTAATTGTCTTGGGTGTAGGAGTTAGGGCTTCAGGTTCAGGTTCTGGATCTGCATCAAGGTCAGAATTGGAAGTATCACCCTTGGCATAATACATTTCAGAATTATGATGATCCATCTTATGCCTTATTGCAACTCTGCTAAGGAATTCGAGATGTTGCGAAGTTGGATTTTGACTACTATGAATTCTAAAAGCATGTTTACTTCCAATTTTTCTTAATCTTTTGGCTGTTATATCATATGATTTTAAAATTTTACTAAATACTCCTATACTATGTTTTTTATTAATACTATAAACAGAATTGCATAACTTTCTAGTTGTTATTGCATCTTGGATCCAGGTAAGCAATTCTTTTGCACATTCTGGATTCTTTTCCATAGATAGAAATTGCTGAGGTTCAGGATTATTTTTTGCTTCTCCTTTATTTTTAATATACCCGATACAATACCAAGAATAACCAGGCTTGTACTATTTAGAAGGATTCGATTCACTGGGTTCATAATAGATAATATGAAGAGTTCAACTTCGGCAGGTCTCATACTCAATATCATAATTACATCTGCAAGATCTTGCATAGTAGGGATTTTAGTAGTATTAATATTTTGAATTCTTCTAAGTCCTTCCTCTAAGAAAAAGTGTTTGGGAGTTTTAGGTGGATTGGGTAATCACTGCGAGTTGCCTCTTTTGAATTTCATTAGAAGCTCGAGTAACTTCTGGTAATTTGGCATATATATAAATTTGCTCAGAACCAATCCTAGCTTCTGCTAACTCTCTATGAAATTGTGAAACATGAGAACTGGCTGCCACAATTGCTTCATCTGTATTATTTTTTGGCACAGCTAAGTCTAAAGCATGTAACCAAATATCCTACACATCTTTAGTTTTTCCACAATATTGAGCTCTTTCCTTGATAGTAAGCTTTTTCTTTTGTTGTTTAGAACCAGAGCTCCTATTTGATTTTCTTTGAATAAGCACTGATGGAGAGCCTCTTTCACATCTTTATGAGCCTTTCAATCCAGTAGCATAGTACTAAGCTCATCGGCATGAGCATGTAATTGAAGCGAGTTTGATTTGGCCGATAGGTTATATTTATTGAGGACCTGATCCAAAATGGAGGTAAAGCTATTAGTTTTGGGTTTTCTAGTTTTTTGGACAGTTGCCATGATAGATATGTAAATAATCTATATCGATAAATAGAATGTAATTATACATTAATCTACTTATTTTTTCAATTCGAAATTAATTATGCTTTTTCCTCTTATACCCAGAAAAAAAGGTTATATATTCCTATAGGGTAAGTAGGATATCAATTTGAAATTTACTAATATATAGAATATAATAAAAAAAATTATAGCTTCGAGTTGTAAAGACTCAGGCTATAGTAACATCATTTGGTTTTATCATTTTATTTTTTACAATGCTTAGGCTAAAGCAAGTATATGATCCGGCTCTAAAACATTGCTCTTTATAAACGCATCATATAATTCATTTGGTCTATGCTTCGATGAAATTAAATTTGGATGATTGAGGAATCTTACAAGTATATCATTTCTCCATTCCTGAGTTTTTCTGCTATTCCAGTCTATTTTTAATAACTTACGTATAGCATAATCATTATATACTTTGAGTAATACTTGTAATAAACTTGTTTTTCTATCAATTAATAAAAGTAAACTTTTTTCTGGATTGTGTGCAATATCCCAAATACGATTAGATATGAACATAAACCATTTACCTAATACTAATTTTTTATAAATTGGAGGGACTAAAACTTTTTCCTCTTTCCAATGCATATAACCATCATGTATCAAAACATTATATGCTGGTCCATCAATTACAATCATACGATTAGTTTTGGGGTTATAGATTTTTGGTTTTTTTGATTGTCTAGCTAATTTGAATAACTTATCTGAGGTAATCGTCTCTTTGTTATATTCTGGGTCTTCGGTGTACATTTTTATGTAGTATTGATGTGATATACAGTGTCAATATATGTTCGATTATAATATTACAAAATAATTTGAAAAAGTTTAAATTGATTTTTATATACTTTACATGAAAATGTAAGTAAAAAAATTTGTTAGTATTTATACAGAGTTTCATGAAATATGAGAGGTTATAAGCAATACTTCGAATAGTATCTCCAACACATAATATATTATTAAAGTCTAAGAAGATTTAAATTGGTTTTATATTAAATATATTTGCATAAAAAGTGAAATGGGTTTTATACGTTATACATTAAAACACTTTGAATGGGGTGTTTAACTGATCAATACGTTAAAAAAGATAGTTTGAGACGTTTTACCTGTCCATATATTAAAAGAGATGGCTTGATTTGCAGAAAAAGTTGCTGGCAACCTGAAGGGTCTTTGTTGCACTGGAAATTATATGAAAAAAATGTGGCAAAAAATTTAGCAAAAATTCCTTGTGGTATCTGTAGAAAAGAAAACAATTCTGAGACGGGATACTGTCCTAAGCATGCGAAGAGGGTTTATTTTCAAAATTGGTATGAGAGACAAAAGGTGTAGAGAATAGAAGCTGATGCGTAATTATACTCACTTTTGCTGAAGGTAGGCACTATATAACTATAGATATCAATTTTAAGCGTCACAAAAATGGTCTTCGTAATGGATTTTTTTACAAGTATCAATTTTAAGCATCACAAAAACCTCCTTTGTAAAATATGTCACAGACCATTACTAAATAGATACATACATTAACAGATATCAAATAAGTTCTGAGTATTCTGTGAGATAGAATTAGGTGAAGTTTCTATTTCATCAGGTGAGAGTTTACTATATCCATATCACCAATCTTCTCCATTATCCCAATCCTCACCTGTCTGGTATAGTGGCAACTCAGATGTATATGCATAGGCATATATATTATCAAATGCTCCAACTAGATGATAATGTGTATGCTTGTTATTTGTACCTTTGAGCTTCAAACCATAAGTTGCATAAAGTGCTGAATTTAATAAACCAAGTTTTGCTCTAATAGTTTTTAATCCAGATTTTTTGGCACGTCAGGATACATCTGTATTATCAAAAACCTGAGCCATTTTAGGAACTAATTCTTGGAGATATTTTATAGATTCAGGTAATTCTAATCGTGTTTTAACAATATTAGTTTTATATTTATTTCTATCATCGATATCTTTAACGGGTATACAAATTTTTAATAATCCAAGACAAATTCGATGTTTTTCAGCTCTAGTAACAGTTGTGAGCCTATCATTTCTATAATCTTCACAGGAAATTGCCTCAACTGCTGTCTCATTATTAGTGCCTGCATCTCGTAATTTCTGGAGAGCTCTAAACCAGAACATATGATTATAATTTCTAAACTCTGAGATAAATTCTTCAGTCAAAAACTCAGGTGCTATATTATAGCAATTTACAATATAGTGCTGGTCTAATGCTCGCATTTCTTCTAAAGTTTTCTTTGGTTTATTTTCTAGATGCTCAGTCATTTTACAGTTAATAATATTTGCATTTGCAAGGTCTGAAATTTCCTCTGCTTTAATAACCGAAGAACATTCCTTTACTGTTTCAGTTAATAACACAGTATTATCTTTAGGTTTGGGAGTTGGTTCTATTACTGAAACTACCATACCTGCCTTTCTGAGAAAATCAACCATTCTCCAACCAAATAGACATTGAGAGCAGAATTTTTTTAACATATATGCCACCTATAATCAGATAGTTGAGACATCTTTATTTCGAATAATAGTATCTATATTTGGAAATATTCCTTTATTCTGAAGCTCTTGGGGAAGACATCCGTGTTTTGCTTCTGTTAACCATTAAAACAACCCCTCTTCTGTAGTTGAGGCTTTAGATGCCCTTTGTTGAATATAACATATATAATCTTTAATACATTGCATGCAGAATAATATTTGATTTGTTCCAGCATTTGTTTCTATATAACTACTGAAGATACAGAATGCTCGCTCAAACTTAGGATTGATGCAAGAAACCCCTATCTTTAATGTACTGGTATATGCAATGAGATCAATATTTTTCCATGCATTATCTACATCTCTAAAATCTCGAGTTTTCTCTATTAGGTCTGACTTACCATGATACTCTTTTATACGCAATTCCGGAAAATCAGCTCTAAGAGTGCGAACAATATTCTGAATATTTTTCCTCTCATGACAGATGAGAGATGCACTTTTTCACTTCTCAAAAGGTAATGATGTCATTTGCTTGGCCCATCCCCAGAGTTCTATCAATACAGTTTTTTTATCAGAAGCTAGACGGAATATTTTACCTTTTTGGAGCTGGTATGTGTTGTGGATAACTGAATATTTCCTATTTGGTCAAAGTCCTTTAATCCATTCAATATTAAGGTCAGTGAGATCATTATCTAGTACAATAACTCTTTCTGCCTGAGTAATTAATTCTGAGAAATTGGCAAGAGATATAGACAAACCACTTAAACAAGTTTGTGTTTGCAAGATAATTAATAGAATCTCATCTAATACTAGAATGTAAGGATTTGGAGGACATTTATGCGAAGCATGGTCTAAAGACCTACATTTTTTATCACATTTACATTTATTAGTAATGCGATGTAAACTTTCCACCCAACATACTACTCTTTGATGCTCTCTCAGATTTATAGGTCCATTGATATCATAATATGATTTGAGATTGAGCCTGCTAGTAATAGCATCCGAATATGTGTATCAAGTCGATGCTACGAGTAAACTTGTATTTTCTGGAATATTTAAATTTTCTATAGCATATGTTTTTCTCATTCCCCAACATGAACCTATATAAATATCATTTTCTTTAGATAAAGGTTTTATATATCTTTCTTCATATCTTTCTGATGCAGTAAGGGGTTTATTATATTTAACCCAACCCAGCATTTCTAAGAAGGGTTTTGGGAACTTAGAGCCCTTTATTTTATGAGAAATAGGTGGAGGAACATTATTTTTATTTTTTTGCTGAATTTTTTCTATGATAGATGAGACATTGAAAATTTTCCCTGATTTGTCATGATTTTGCTAGAAGCATTTCACAATAAATGAACCATCATAACACGCGCGACCGAACCACTGCTGATCCTTGTCATGTATGCGTTCACAAATCGGACATTATAGATATACTTTCTGATTAAAGTATACAAAATACTGAGAATTTTTTTCTTCGATATCTCATCCTCCAAGATAATCAGAATATTCTTGCAGAACTAAATTAGCATATTTTTTTAGTAAATCTTGACCAACGATTATTTTTTTCTGATTTATTTTCTCTACACTAAGTATGCGAGGGCATACTTCTAAATTCATATTAATTGGTGGTTAAACTCGGCTGTTATTGAGATTATACCACCCATTATCTAGTGAGAATTGAAGTATGCACTTCACGCAATCTTTTTTTGCTGAACCAATTAAGCAGAGACAGAAATTTCTACCAGGTAATCCTTGATCAATAAACTTTTTATATTTTTTTCTAGTTAATCTGAATACTAATTCTGTAAATTTTTTTAGCTCTAGATAATCAACAAGAAGAGCTGAGGCGTATAGAAGGTGATAACTGCATTTATTATCATCAGATGATGTCATAATTACCAATCCTTTAATAATTTCTTCTCAACTACAATCAAAAATTTGATACAATGCTCTTACAAATGAACAACAAATGCTGAAAAACACATTTTTAGTATTAACGTTTTCAGCTTCTATTTTTTCTTTAAATGCATCAATATCAATTACTGGTCTTAAAGGCCGTTGCCTGTTAATACATTCATGAATTCCAGGTAATCCATATATCTCAGATATGTCATCTATGACAGAAAACTTTGGTGCTTGTTTATCTTTTTGGTCAATTTGGATAATCAATCTATTGGTTAATTCCTCTCGTGTATATGCATCAAGCAGACTAATTTCTTCTTTTGCTCCATAATTAGATAAAAGATAATCCCATAAATGTATATTCTCTAATGATCCTTTATTATTCGACATATCTCTGACAGGTGAAGAAACGATTTTACGGATTTTATTCATCACATCTTTTTGTGTAAATTTATCATTAAATCTTTCTTACTGTTTAGGATATGTGGGACTCACTTGCTCTGTAGATGATGTCGTATTAGACACTTGTTCTTCTACTTTAGGGGGGGGTTGAAGTATTAGAGACTTAATAGTAGTCTCAGTATCTGACTCATAGTCGGAACTATAATCACTGCAATTTTCTGACCTACTTTCAGATATATTATCACTATAGACATCTGAGTCACTTGAATAGTCATCGCTTTCTTTGCCCCCGTACCAGATCACTTGTATGTTTTGTTTGCTCATTTTTGGTATTTGGTTTTTTTATTGGTATGTATCAATCATTGTTCGATTATATTATAACAAAATAGTTTGGAAAAGTTTAAATTATTTTTTTTCATGTCTGGTAAGAGATGTCAAAAAAATGGCATCAAGTTTTAGTGAGATAAATGAAGAGAATTGTGATTTCGATTAGTGAATATTTTGGGTATATAAGTTCGGTATATATTATGTGTCTACGACACTAGCTCTGCTATAAGAATTATGGAAGTTATATACCTGTTTTGATGTGATGATATGTGTTCGGGGTATTCAAGTGTGGTAATATATTATAAAAAAAATGGCAGAAGAATACCCTTTCAATGATATGTTTTCAGGTATGTTTTCGCGTGTATATTATCAAGGGTATTCAAGTGTAGTAATATATTATAAGAAAAATGGCAGAAGAATACTCTTTCAATGATATGTTTTGGGTATATGTCATGGTAGAAAACTTCAGATTTATTTATAGTAAAAAATGATGTTATATACCCGCACTCTTATGTGTCAGAGATACTAGCTCCGCTATATATAACATATCCGATAGCATTTACACGATAACATGGCCAGATAGCATAACTGATAGCAATTAAGCGACGCATATTTGATAGCAGTTCAGATAACGTGAATATAGCATACCTGATAGCAGAAATATAGCATAGCCGATAGCATATGATAGCATACCTAATAGCGTGAATGTAGCATGCCCAGATAACGTGTATATAGCATATCTGATAGCAGAAGTGTGACGAGGTAAATGTAAAATTGTCGTCATATTTTTTATAGATCGTGGAGTATCCAAGTGTGATGACATGACTACAAATTTGTTGTCATATTTTTTTATAGGTTGTGGGTACCCAAGTGTGACAACGAACTCGTGAACCAATTGTCACTTGAATGACGATGCAAGCGCAAATCGTTCGTTACTCGAATAATGACGCAAGTGTGAATCATTCATCACTCAAATGATGATGCAAGCGCGAATCGTTCATTACGATGACAGACTCGTGAACTAATCATTACTCGAATGACAACGAACTCGTAAACTAATCGTCACTCAAATAATGATGAACTCGTAAACTAATCGTCACTCGAATGACGACGAACTCGTAAACTAATTATCACTCGAATGACGACATAAGCATGAATTGTTCATCACTCTTATAAGTAGGTAACAATCTAATATAAGTAGGTATCATTATATATATAATGATACCTACTGGCTAATCTTTTCTAATTTCCATTTCTATTAGGTAGTATGTATACTGATCTTGCATCTTTTTTCTTTAAGCACCATAATAACAATACTTTTGATGCATGTCCTGGAAGTTCTACCAACCTAGTTGTGAACTGGTTTTGCAAATTATATTGATTAAAATCTTCTTCACCTAATGTTATTCTTGCTAATTTGTGTATTCCTATTGGCAGTGATCATGGGATACTTTTTTCATCTATTTTTTTTCTCTTGATTACTGCAAGCACGTTGTATTTAGATCTTTTAATATATTTTACTTGGGCTCTTTTAATATTCTACATATATAATCTACTTCTTCTATTTTAATATTAGCTGGCAAATCCTATATCATTAGCAATGATCCTATTTTTGACTCATTTTCTATTACGTAAGTTTCTTCATCATTTTTTTCTTCCTTTTGTTTCTTAGTTTTTTTGAGTCTTTTCTCTTCTTTCTTCTTGTCTTTGTATATTTGTTGACTTTGTTTTCTTTTTTGACTTTCTTGTTCTTTTGAAATAATTTTAAGCCATTCACCTTCTTTTTCTTTAATTTTCTCTATCGCTGCATCTCTGCTAAATTCACAGTCAAAGTTTACCTCTACTCAATTATTACTATTTTTGAAAACCTCTTGAATTGATTTAATGTAATGATTTTCTCAAAAAATCTATTGAGCATATTTTACTCTCTCTTCTTTTTCTCTCCCAATACTATATATGTTTGTATGTTTGCTTTAAATGATCTGCTTTTGTCACATATATGATTTCTTGGTTACTACTGACTTTGCTCTATCGTGTCTGTTATTTTTGGAGTTTTTTGGCTCTCTTCTTCTGCTTTTAGTTTAGCAATTTTTCTGTCTATTTCTTTGATGTCTTCTTTAAGTTTATATATTCTACCATTAATTAGATAATCTTGGCCTTCTTCATCTGTTTCTTCCCTCTTGTTGTTTTTACCTCTTGCTGTGCTTTGCAGTTTTCTTTAATTATATTTTAAGAACTTCTAAGCTTTGGTAATTGTATAGTTAAGATGCTTAGATCCTTCATTTGTCTTATAACTCTTTGCAAATTTTGGATTATTTTCTTTTCTTTATTGTTATCTTCTTTATTCTTCTTTTTTATAGTCAGTGCTAGTTTTGTTTCTTTGATTTCTTTTGTCTTTTTAGTTTTCTTTAGTTTAATTTTTTCTTTAGATATTTCTTTCTTATTTGTGCTTTCTTAGTAATTAAATAACCCTGAGTTTATATTTATTTTTGCTAATTTTGTTGTCTATTCTTCTATGATACTATGTGAAACTGTGCATACTGCTACTATTTTAAGTACTTCTAGAATTTGGTTATATCAAAATAGGTCATTTAATGTTATATTTTTTAGATTATAGATTGCTAGATCTCTTACTATATACTCTAAGTTGTTTGACTTATTTATTGGTTTTGACAAGATTGAATCTAGTATTTTGTTATCTATGTATTTCCTATTTCTATCACTGAAGCCTCTAATATGTTGTATCAGGCTTGTGCTACATGATAGCCTCAATTTTGTTTCTACTTCTATTTCTAGACTTTTCTGATATTTATCCATCTGCTTGCTGCACATGCTGTACTTACCTATTGTTTCCTAATTGGGCTGATTATTGTTGATTCTTGTTGTTGTTTGGTATAATATGATGTATTGCTTTGTTTTTGTTTACTTTGTATATTGGTTACATGCTTCTAATTTGTTTTTTTGGGTCAAACACTATTTTCAATTTCTCCAAAAATTTTTAATAAAAATTTTGAAAATCAACAACAGTTTTATTTGTCAGAACTTTGCTTATATTGTTGTTAAGACAAAGTAGTTGTGTTTTGTTTGCTGAGTCTTTTTCCTTAGTAGTCCAAGTGAAATTTGTCAGACCATTTTTATGTTTTTTTATGTATTTGCTTTTAGCCTTGTTTGAAAATTTAAAATCAGTAAAGAGAGTGATATTATTACTTTTATACTATATCTTAATTATAAATTAGTATTTAGAAATAATAACTAAATTATAAAAATACTTAAATTATTAAAAAACTTCAACTAGTTTTAGCAAAAAAATAAATTACTAATATAAATGTTTTTATTAAAAAACATTACAATATTTTTTTAATATTAGAAACTCTTTAATAATATTTTTTATATTATATCTTGTCTAAATACATTTATGATCTAATAGACTTATCTAAAATTATTTTTTAATATTTTTGAAACTTAAAAAATAACTAAGATAACAATACTAAATATATAAACATTTAAAACAGAGATGAACTCTATATTAAAAAACTAATAAATATATATTTCTTTACAAAAATTCTGCAATTAGCAAAAAACAAAAATAAATTAAACATATTTGAATTTAAAACCAAATTAACTGTTTGTTTTACTAAATAAAAAATACATTATTATATTATTTATAGACAACTTTTTTTTATATATCTTATTAAAAACTAGAATTTTATAACTATTTTAGAAAAAAGAGTGTGGCAACTTAGTGAAATAGATAGGTTGTCAACTCTCAAATAGCAGGTCTAAGGTTCAATTCTTATAGATGACAAATTTTGAAAATTATACCTGTGTTATAATAACTGTTTCTTGTCGATTAGTTGGGTTTTGGGCATCTGTAATTTTAGGTACATCAAGTTAAATCTTACCTGACATTAAAAGCTCTGGGTATTTATGCAAAATGTAATATTACATATACATAAAGGAATATGAAAAACTGACATTATATAAAGCTTTGATGCAAATCTGTTATAAGACTACCAGGTATAAAAGGCTAAAACACTAAGAAGATAAAACCCACTTGGAAATTCTAAGTAAAGAGGTAGCACAAACTTTTAATAATGTCATTGAATTGATAGAAGCCTATGAAACATCTTCATAGAAGCAGTCAGATAAACTGAATGACAAGATGTATAGAGAAGCATATAACCAATCAGACTACTGAAATTGTCAGAAGAAAAGGATACATAAGTATATTATACTATGCTATCTAGATTGAAAGTTTGAGAAGTTAGTTGGTTCTGAGTTGCAGCTAGTAGAAAATAATAATGAAAAAGTTAGAAAGATAGGTACTAGATTTTGAATAAACTTTATAAAGGTAATAGCAGTTTAATGAGTAATCCTGACTGCAAGTATTGGTCTTGGCCATAATGTCAAACCAGATTAGTAGTAAAAAAGAATATAGCTTACTTTGGTAGATTTGTCTTGAGAATAAAAATAGTTTAAAAATTGTAGTCCTATAGTTAAAAGTGAATAGATCTGAATCTGTGATCTGGTAAAATTAATACTAGGGTCAGATCAGAGGATTTAAATGAAACATCTAAGCAAAGGTGTTAGGTATAGCAACTAGTAGAGAACCCTAGAATGGGCTTCTTAAATAGGTAATATAAAAAAGTTATACATGTAGCCAGTTGTACACTTGTCTGATAGTTCAATATAGATGCATCTGTATAAAACATATATCTAACATAAGTATTTATAAAAAGCTAGGACCAAAGAGGTCATCTTAATATTAAAAAAAAAAACTATCTTAGAAAACTATTAAAAATTAATTATTTTTTTTTAAAAAAAAAGTTAAAAAAAGTTAAAATTATATATAAAGAATCTAACTATTTATATATTAAGAAAAAAAAGAGAAATAAGTTTTTGATAAAAAATAAGCAAATTATTAATAACATGGTCTTTGTATAAAATAAATTAAAAGTAAAGTAACTCTTATTTTTATTTCTTTTAGCTTAGTTTCT